TTTGCTTCGTTTTCTGTCACGAACGGAAGTAATGACGACACACGATCTTTACACGATGCAAATGAACTGATGACTGACTATAAGTCCTGAAAGTTTTAGACTTCAGTCTATTATTGTTGCCGAACAAATGTGAAAACAAATTCTAATTTTGAGGACAGGAAAACACACGACCGGAAGTGAACTGAATAAAAATCTCTGAATTTTCTCTTGACTTTTGCAGTATCTACAACATATGTAAAAAACATTTCAAATACTTATATATAAGTGATATTTATGAGAAAGTTAAACCACGAAATAACGTAGTTTATCTCTAAAAACCGGAAGTTTAAAGTTTTTGTTTCCGATAGAATCTAACATATTTTAAAACAGCGAAAGAGAAGCAATAAAGTGATGCAAGTTTTAATTTTAAAAAGAAAAGTTGAAAATTTTGATTTCTTTGATCACTTCCTGTGACGACCGGAAGTGACGGCTTACGCGTTTAACCCTATATGTTTTGCCTACTCACCAAGGTTTATTACTCCTTTAAGTTTAGTGTCTTAATTTTATGTCGTTTCCGAGATCTTTCTGAAATAAGTTTTCATTTTGAGGACAAGAAAACACGCGACCGGAAGTGAATTTTACTAAAATATTTCACGTCACTCTAGACATCTGCAGTCTCAATAACATATATAAAAATCATTTAAAGAACTCTATCTATAGGCGATATGTATGGGAAAATTAAATACCCTTTTATGTAGTTTTTCTCTAATAACCGGAAGTTGTCGTTTTTTGTTTCCGGTGGGACCAACACATATCGTAACTGTGAAAAAGATACAATTATATGATGCAAGTCTTATTCCAAAAGAGAAAAGTTGAATTTTTTTATTTCTTTGATCACTTCCAGTGACGACCGGAAGTGACGACTGACGCTCTTAACCCAAATTCTTTTGTCTACTCCTCAAGGTCTAATACTCCTATAAGATTGGTGTCTTAATCTATTAGCGTTTCTGAGATCTCACTCGGACAAGTTCTCATTTTGCGGACATTCAAACGCGCGACCGGAAGTAAAATTTTACAAAGATATTTGACGTTACTCTAGACATTTGCAGTCTTGATAACATATTCAAAAATCACTTCAAATACATTATCTATAAAAAATATTTATGGGAAAGTAAAATACTCAAATTATGCAGTTTTTTGCTTATAGCCGGAAGTTGACGTTTTTGTTTCCGGTGGGACCAACATATTTCGAATCTACAAATAAGATGCAACAATGTGATGAAAGAAAAAAATCAAAAAAGAAAAGTTGAAAATTTCGATTTCTTTGATCACTTCCTGTGACGACCAGAAGTGACGGCTGACGCTCTTAACCCAAATGGTTTTGCCTACTCCTCAAGACCTATTAACCCTATAAGTTTGGTGTCTTAATTTCTTACCGTTTCTGAGATATGACTGGGACAAAATATTTTTGAAAAAAACGGAAATCGGACATATCTGACGACCGGAAGTGAATTTTGAGAAAATGAAAAAAACGCCTGGGGATATTTTCATTCTCTGTCATCCCTGAAAATTTCAAGAAAATCCGTCCAGTCATCTCTGAGAAATCGCCCAGAAAAGAAAAGGGGAAAAAAAAATAATAATAAAAAGAAGAAACAGTAGAATCACTATAAGGTCTTCCGTCTAAAACGGAAGGCCTTAATAATAATAGAAAACAGACGGAAAACAATAAGGTCTTCCGAAGGAAGTCGGAAGACCTTAATAATAATAATAATAAGAAACCGAGTAAAAACAATATGTTCCCAAACTTCGTTTGGGGAACATAATAAGAAGAAGAAGAAACAGAGTAAAAACAATATGTTCCCAAACTTCGTTTGGGGAACATAATTAGGATATTGGCAAGCTCGTGCATTGTACTGCTAACTCGTGCCAATACTCAACATATAAGTTCAATAACCCTATATTATCATATACTTAGTAGCTCTATTAGATTTTTTTTAAAAATGTCATAAACATGCACGAAACATTCTTAAATGCCCTCAGGCTGATATGGGGCCACTCGGGCTGATATGACATATGATATGGATTTTACTCTGTAATATTCTCTATTTAAGATATTGAACGCTATTAAAATTCTCTAGACTTTTAGTAGTTTTTTTTTATTATAGACTATGTATTAGCTAGAAAATAAAGATAGTTATTGAGTTCTAACGCAACAACAAGATATTGCTATCCATCTACTTACACTCGAAGGTTTTTTGGGGTTTATAAAGTTTTTAGGTGGCAAGGGAAAGTTTTTTTTAATGCCAAACATATGCCAAGGGGTAGGCATATAGATGAGGGCAATAAAAACATATATGTTGAGACAGTTTTGGGGGTATTATATGCACTTCATATCCCCATAGCTCAAAATATATGTCAACTTATAGCATGTAATCTACATATTACCTGTGTACCGAAAATGCACTTTGGGGCATCCCCAAATTTTGGCTTGTTTTTCCAAGATTTGAGCCTCATTCGCACCCATACAGCCCATACCAGTCCCTAGCGAGGTGGATGAAACTCCCAGCATCTTGTACCTCAATGCATGTCCTGATGAAAATTCAACAATTGATCTGGGCCCATTCACCTTCCCTCTGAGATACAGACCTTCTTCTTAGACCTACTGCTTTCCAGCTTAATTTCTTTGGCAACTGGCAGCAAATGTCTTAGTTTTGGATTTACAGCTCTGTATATGCCAAGATCATAGTGACACCTACATGTTGCACATCATTTTCTCGATAAGCACTCTGCTACACTGCACCTGTATCCTATAATTGTGTCATAGTGCGGAACTTTTTCTATTGATGTTAGTCATACTTTAAATCAAGTAGAACTCCAACGTACTATAACTTCTAGGGGGCGGAATTTAGCCGTACAGTAACTTTCAATGTACAGTACAATAACTTCCAAACTCTGTGAACATATACAACATATACAGAGGAAACATGAAAAACCTCATAAAATTCACACACACACACACACACACACACACACACACACCCTACACCCTGAAAATCTATACATGAAAACCCTTTTCTAGAGCAATACATGTAAACTCATTAGTAAACTTAAAATTTTAAACAGAATTTCATGAAATATTCGAAGTAAAACAGATAATCTTAATTGAGATCTGACAATATTGCAAACACGCCCACTTTCGATGATTCTTTAATAGCACCTGCTTTCTAGGTTCCTTGAGTTGCATGCAAAAGGATGCATGTTCGTATATACTATTTCCATTCCATAATTTGGACACCTGCGGTAGTACTTGACTCGGATTTCCGACAATGATGCAAGCGTATCCCCTGTAACAGTATTTTTACAACAACGTAGCGAGTCAAAGTACGGGTGGATCCAGGACTAAATCACCTTTTTCCAGCATTGTGCCTGTTTATGTTATGGTTTTTGAAATACTCATACTTAATCCATCAAATACAATCGCACACTCGTTTAAGGACATATGCAACGTAGTTTGAACTTTATTGTCTTTTTCACTGGAGTTGAAGAGTTCCAATACTTAAAGTAACTGTGTGCTACATTTTATTGTCTATATATGCTGTTGTACACTTCTTCTAAAACAAGTTTGGATAAACAAAACATCTAAAATATATGTTTGGTAATTTTTGTATATTTTTCTTTGAATTATACAAGATTTTTCATCAATTCATATCTTTTTAAAACCCCTGGTATTGCATGCTGATTTTTTGTCTACAAACATCTGATGGCACTTTAATCTTAAATTAAGAATATCTTGAAAAATTATCAGAAGGTAAAGTACGTTGCGTATGTCCTTAACACCACTTGATTTTTCAATGCAACCACCTCCTTCTTACTATCTGCTGTGTTTGAACACCATGTGGAATTACGATGGACCTAGGCCTGTGACGTAGTAATATCGCTTGCAGTTTGGCGCTGAAGGAGTGACTATGCAATCGACCATGAAACAAGACATTTACAGACACTCTGTTTCGTTTGTAAGGGATTTATCGCACAGGGAGACGTGACAGTCTCGTCGCTTCGCGACTCGACTGCCACGCCTCTCTGTACAATAAATCCCTTACAAACGAAAAAAGTACTGTAAATATAACTTATTCTATTCATTTTTCCACATAAAATATCAACAGAGGATATCTCAGTTTTTAAAGAAATTTGACCGGTACTTTAGTACGAGCTATCCCCAGCCACCTTATCTTTAGTACTGTAAATGAATGTAGGCATGTTTCTATGAATACAGCATTTCTAGGATCCCAGTTAGTATTAGTGTCAATGTATCAATGAAGATCGCCACAATACGATCAAAGTCGTGTTAATTCTTCAAAAAATACTGAGTAAAAATCGAAGTTGGATGCAGCCTTCTCTTTATCTTACGATATCGTACAAATCTACAATTCTATTTCAAATATTTTTAAAGATTTTAATTCATTTGAAGTACATGTAATCGATATTAGTAAAAAAAAAAATTTAATTAAAAATTTAAGAGAACATATGATTTTGTGTCATAATCTTATGTATTTCAATACACACCCGAACATACCCATACACCGACATTTAAAGGCAAGATATGATTATGTATTACTTATTTTATTACACACGCAACCAAAATTTTCAATATAAAGAATTGAAGAAAATTTGTATTTCTTCGCATAATAAGACATGTCTATTCCACTTTACATAAAAATAAGTAATAGATAAATTATTGAACACACTTTGAACTACAGTAAAATGACAAACATGTGATAAACGTTCCTAGTTCATGGGAAGTATGATTAGTTTTTAAAGTGCCTTAGCAATAATGTACCAAGTTTCAATATGAGGTGTTTTAAAAGAGAGAGAAAGAGGGAACTTCAAGTCAAGCCATGCTTGCTTAAATAGTACTCAATCAATTCTTTCTTTTCCAGTCAGCAAATGAGAAAAAAACCGATCCATTACACATTCATAGGAATATTTACCAATTTGTTTGTTTTCTTTCTACGCTTCAGCACAGGAAATCTCATTTTTAATATACAGAAGTCTATTCTAACAATTGTACCAAATTAGATATTCAGGATAGGACTGATTCCTATCATAAACAACAAACTCTCGATCCGAAAAGGCTCCACCATTCGCCACTACACTGTCATGAATTTCCTGATGAGTCACACATACAGGGTTTGTACATATTTTGCATGGTGGCCTCTTATAATTTCCACCAGAATTGGTCAGATAAATGTCACCAAGACTCATTCTAACCAAAAACATTGGATAACGGTTTTGGTTGTCACATCCTAAAAAAAGAAAAATAATTCATATATCAAACTTCAAATATCAACAAATGGTAAAAGAATTCTTTAAACTATTATAATAAGAATTTTTACTGTTTTATGGACAACTGTTTCGGAATAGATATGTATTAAACATCCCTTAAAACAAAAGTAAATTATTTTTTTCTTTGCTTCTTTGTGTTTCTTTTTTCATAATGCTTAATAAGAAAAGACAAGACATCCTCACAACGTCAGGGATCCTGAGTCAACTCGTTACTGTTGGACCAAGGACAAATTTCATTCGATACTCTACGAGGCCTGCTTCTCGTTGAGAAGCATAATTCAGATCGGGGCTTTCATCAGTTGATAGAAAACGTAAACTAAACGTAAGCAGTTGACAACTCAATGCACGTGTTACACGTTTTTTTTTTCACTGAAAGGGTTAATGTGATTGGTCGAGAGATAAGAAAAACAATCAAGATTTGTATTTTACCCGAAAGACACGCCGCACTCAGCCCGTTGAATATTGAATAAAATTTGTCAGGGGTCCAATGGCAACTTGTTGACTCAGGATCTCTGGCGTTGTGAGGGTTGTGAGGGAGAACTACCTGCATATTGATGTGACTTAGAGGCTACCTCAGCACCATACACTCCCGCTCCGAGTCTTCCACTCGCTGCAAGCCGACTGTCCAACCCTTGACTGCAAATGACGTCAACATATTGAGACTTCGTAGCATGAAAAAAATAATACTCGTTAATTTCGGAGTGAGTATGTTTCGTCATGGAGGGATCCAATGAACCCATTACTTTTACAGGCCCACGTGACTGTGGAATTTTATCCAATGTCGTAAAATTTCCCTCTACGCTTGCTTTTCGGAATAGCCTCTGGCATTCTTCTCCATACTTAAGAAACAACTCGACATTTTCTAGTCTCTGAATACTAACAATTTGTGCATTTCCTAAAGTCCTTTTTAGCGCATTTCCAATGGATCTGTGAGTTACCTGGTCAATATTTTCCAAATGGAACTTCCCCGATTTTACCTGCAAATTCCACCCCTTAAGTTTTTTGTCGGAGGTATATTTGGTCCAGTAGGGTGGTGTTCTGAGCGCTTCTCGATATTTATAATCAAGGTAAGCTTTTGTGCCTCGTTGTGGAATAGATTGTACGTTCCTTGGTCTGTTTGGGGCTGAAGGGACAGGGGAACTTTTACCTTTAATAGCATAGAGATAAATGGATTATATGAGGAATTTTACCATAATTATAAATATACGGAAAGGAAAAAGAAACGCAGGGTAACATAATACGCGAAAATTTTTTATCTGTATAACCGAAAATTATGAAATTTGGTCAGAGGGATATCTTGGTTACTGTGCATTAAAATCAGTGTTCAGAACTAATCAACCGTGAAATGTATGACGTCACATAAGGAAAGTGGTAAAAAGCCGAAAACACGTGCATATTGATGACAACATGTTTTCAACACATCTCGTTGTACCATTTGCTGCACTTAAATTATACACATTATTTTCGATATTTACAGTCGATTTGCATTTCTTGAAATCAAAGTACGGTTGACGGAAGTACCATGGGGTCTGGCTATTGCATTGCCTAAGTAAAAGATAATGGCAATGACAGGTTTTTGTGCAGTTTGTTGTGAATTTTTAAACAATACAACGTCTTACCCGCTCTCAGAGAGGGCGTAGAAAGGTTTCCAACCAACCGTGATGATGACGTTGACGCGTAACAGCGCCACGTCAAGGTCGGGCAAATCATCCTGCCACCTGTATAATCACCATCACATTACCCTAAAATTGCTATTAATACAGCAGTCTATCATAATCGTTACATTCACCCCAAAACTTAAGAAAATCGATAGCGCGATTTTGGTTTGTGAGCTCGTCAACTTAACGTTAGTGTTCCTCTAACTCGCGCATGCGCGCGTCGTTTGCCTATTTTTTGGGGCATGTTAACCCCCCTCCCAATGCTGGCAGGGCTTGTCAAGATTTTCTCACAATCACATTTATCCACTTGATTGGTCTCCATCAAGTCCATCTTTTTCGCATCAAACGTCTGTGGGACTACGTGGACGATAGGGTTTAAATGTCTTAGCTGGTCTCAATCAACTAAGGGCTGCCTTCTCGGAAGGGTTGAATAATATCCCTATTAGAAGGAAAAACACACCGAAGAACTTCATGCATAGGAAAATCAAGGCTGTGACAGATGCGCGAGGGAGACATGTGAGATAATGAGAATTTTCATTTTTCACTTTTGGGGGGTACTGTCATTTTCAATAACTCACAAATTATTGGGGAAAATCAAATGAGATTTTGGTTACAATTTTATTAAAGATGATTTTAAATATTAGATAGGAAAACTGGAAAATACGTCAGAAATATATAATCTTGTTTCACCTAAAAAGTTTACCCTGCGTTTCTTTTTCCTTTCAGTATATAAATGGAATAAATGGAGTAATACTGATCGGTAAAGCCTTTACTATGCATTTCTTATTTGTTCAATATATCATGATATACCTGAGGAATTAGCCTGATTTATTTCGTCTTTGAACGCCTGTCAATATATAAGTAAAGATATATAGAATTTAACAAAAATTAATAGATTATTTCATTATAATCATTAATTATTAAAGTAACGGATGGGGTCAAAAATGTGACCTAAATACAGATTAACTATTATGATGCTAAATATAAGGTACCGGTATTATTATTTTACAAAAATGAAAACTTACCATTTCTAGTTTAGGTAAATCACTACTCCCCCCATACAGTACAACTCGTATATCTGAGATACTCTGTTGCTGGCGTTGCTTAGAAAACTTTTCTATTGACGATACTATGTTAGCGGCCGCCACATCTGCAGGAAATTTATGAAATCCAGTCCCAAGGGCAGGAAGGGCTATAGACGTGTAACCACTTTTATTTGCTTTCTCCAGACAACCCAAGACAAAGTCCTCCAACAACTACATGTGTACAATATAGAATCATGATAATTAGAGATTCTACTAGTTTATGCTTTTTTGACATCTGCGGTCGAAGTTACAAGCAATAAAAATTCAATAATTAATTATATCATTTTGTTTTTGTTTGTAATGCTTTTTCAAATTTATTTCAGTTTTTTTTATTTATCTATATATATTTTTGCTTGCCTTATGGGGAAGTTTGGTACTTCCGGAACGTTTTGAATACCATGGTAACAAAGTTCCATGATAAACTTCATTGCAACTCAGATTGTATCCCTTGGATACAGCAATGTCGCCATGATTAATTCCTTGGGGATAATTTTGAGCCAGTTCTTGAGATAGACCGGGCCCAGCTGCTGTGCCTATTGCCCCAGATGTTCCTGACGTCATTCCAAGATCATTAGCAACGCTGTTAACAATCACGTTCACCTATTTTAAAAAAAAATCATAGAAATTTTGACTCAAATTATTTAAAATTTCAACAAATTTCCACCGAAATATATATAAATTAAAACATGTTAAAAATTTATGGTTATCTGTTAAAATATCTCATCAAGCTCTTTAGTAAATAAATCATTATTTGAATGAAATCGATCAAATGAAAACATTATGAGGTTCACCTTTTGTTCAACAAGACTCCCAACCAAAACAATGACAGGAATACCCCCAACCTGACCAGAATATGACTGTCGGGACACAGTACTTGTGGCTTAAATAATGCAAAATTACAACTTGAAACAAATATCAGCAGGTTTTAAAACCTAAGATTCATTTAGCACATTTAGTAAGTATAACAACAACACCAATGCACGAAACTTACATTCAAAACTAAGTGGAGGAATTTTATATGAAACTCTTGTTCAAACCAGGAAAAAACCTTGTCCTGTCCTGTGTTTTTTAGTACCGATTTATTTAAAAAGTTACTCATGTTACACAAACCTGAAGTCCCTGGAACAAAAGTGGCTCCCGATGAACCTCCTTTTAATTCTTTCATAAACTCCTAAAGGAAGAAAAAATATAAAAATCAAACAAACAAATTCTAATATGTCTCCATTCATTTAATTTCTAGCAATGTGCAATCTAAAGTAAGTGTAGAAAATTAGACAATTTATTCAGATGTATCAAATTAAAAAGACTTTTGTTTTGTTAATTGCTACTCTAGATTTTTGTGGTGACCTATAATGTAAGAAAACATAATTTATTTTCAAATAATGATTGCTTTGTGTGATTTTGATATAACAAAAAAAGCTCATTAAACTCTTAGGATTGTTGACTGATTGTTGATTTACGTCCCTTGCGAGAATTTTTCACTTATATGAGACTTTAACAAAAACCGATGAAGGGCTTCAAATTTAGACCTATACTCGAAACTTAGGGTCATTGAGCAGTGAGGGTTCTTTATCGTACCAACGCCTAACGTGACATGGGACCTACATTTTTAAAGTCATATTTGAAAGACTTCTAATGTCGGGTGCTCGGCGAAGGTACTTAACTCTTAGAAGAATATTGCAAAATACAGAAAATATAGTCAATTGAATTTCAAAAATAAATTTTATATGAAAATCATATTTTATGACTTCATATTTTGTACCACCGAGCTTCCCGCGAAAAGCACTGCTATTCATTCAAAATCTTGACCCACATACCCGTTTATAAAGCGAACTTAATTTTAAGCGTCGACGTCTTGACTACCCAAAGAAACATAGATTTTTCTTTGTTGCAAGAAGAAATACTTTGAATTAAAAAAGAAAACAAACAACAGAAATAAATGTCTCAACTCTTACATTCTGAACAGTGGACCAGTCATTGCTTCCACTATACACTACAATGATAATTTTCCTGATATTCATACGAGAATGTTTTGTACTAAAGTCTCGTATTGTTTTAACCATCAATTTTGCTGTTTGATCACTAGGATAATGTAAAGACCCAACTCCGAGCGTGGGAAAAGCAATGGATCTTGTAGAATGATTATTTGCTGTTTCCAGACACTTCTCCATGAATTTCTCCAACGTCTATAAATGCCAAAATAATATCATGAATATAAATTGAACGAAAGCAATATACCACAGAAAAAGTGTCCGTAAAATATAACCAAAAGTTCAACTGCGTTTGTCATTATGTTTAAATTATAAATTAAAAAAAATTATGATATTAGACTCACTGATGATGGATCAGGTTGACTGGTCCCCCATTTTGGCAGAGCCCCGTGGTACACAAATTTGCATTGAAGTCGATGACCTCCACTGACTGCAATGTCTCCATATTCAACGCCATTTGAATAATTCTGGTTTAATTCATCTTGCATTTCTCGTCCAGCAACTCTCAACAAAGCTTCAGACAATCCTCCATTACTGAGTTGCAAGTCTTTTGGTCCACTACACACTAACACGTCTGCCTAGATCATTAAACAAAGCATTTTATCACATCAAAGGAAGTTCTTTCATTTTGATTAAAATTTGTATATAAAGGGTTGAAAGCCCCAAGAGCGTTTTAATTCAAGATAGGAGCTCATTTATGTAAGTTCTTTTGAACCATTAAGATTCTGAACTTCTATGCATACTTACGTGAACATTATGCAGAGCGCCCACAATGACCTCAACGTCTGCTTTCCCAATTTTTGCACTATTTTGTGTCACTTCTTCGAAACAGGTGGCTGAACGTTAGGTGTATGAACCTCTGAATTACAAAAAAAAAATCAAATTAAAATTGTGAAATATCACACGTAAATCTAAACTCAGAAACTAACAGATTCTATCGTATAACTCTACATGTGCATAAATATGATATTTCGATTTTATTTTACTTCCACAACTGAATATCAGCTTACCTGACTGTGAAGATGTATATTTTTTAGCTTCTGTCAAAAATGTCTGCATGATAAATAAATAAAATAAGTACCCGGAAAAAATGTTCAAATAAATAAATTGGAAATAAACGGGTTCTAAAAACTGTCCTCTCACTCCAAAAAAAAACATCAAATGAATCAGTCTCGAAGTACTAAATAATTTAAGCGTTTAGCAATGTTTCATTCAGACTCATTTAATCCCTTTCTAAAGGTTTAAAAAAAAATTTTGAATTTGTTTTAGTTATCAAAGCTTAAGTATTAAAAAGCTTACATAATCTCTTATGCCCATCTAACTATATTATGAAAGGTATCAATAATATCTGTAACTAACATTTGATAACACTATACTCAAAAGATGTTTCTAGGAAAGCAATGTCGTCAGGAAATTAATGGAGAAACGATAAATGTTACATTGTCCCGAAAAAGCTCGTTATCTTCATAACAAAAAATCTTAGTAGAATTATTTGATGTTCAATTCAAAACCAAAACATCCAAAATTTTTAATATTTTCAAAGAAGATGCTTTTTGTATTAACTAAAGGAATTTATATTGTTGAGAATTTCCAAATTTACCTTGAAAAGATCGTTATCCTTCTTGAAGATCACAATGAGGACTTCTTGGAGTGATTGTGGTGTAATATTATTTATACAAGTTAACAGGATTTCTGCAACACTAGTGGCAGGATATCCAAGCCTCCCGGCACCAAGCGCGGGAAAAGCGATCGTCTGATGACCATCTGATTCTGCTTGTTTCAGTGAGGCATCGATAAGATTTTGAAGTGTCTAAAAGGAAGTAGGTGTAGATTTAATATTCAATGAAGGAAGCCATGAAATATCTTTAAACAAAATTTATGCTAATAAATGTAAATTGTTAAGAAAATTTCTATTTGTCGTATTAAGATCAGAATGGATTTGAATACTGAAAATTATAAACCTGTTCATCTTGTGTTGAAGAATACTTTGACAGCGCCCCATGGTAAATCGCCTGGCAGGAAAGCTGTCCCCCAGAGGTAATTGCAATTTCTCCGTCCTGTATCCCATTAGGATAATTCTGTTGACATTCCACCTGAATTCCGAAACCAGCAGCACTTAACAAAGCCTTGGAGGCACGACCTTTACTCAAGTCAAGGTCAGAGCCATTGCTATTCACGATAACATCAACCTTGATTTAAAGAAAAAAAAAAGACAAGGCTTCAAAACAAACAATGATTTTACACTTAATCTTATGAAATAAAAGAAAATTATATTGAAGTATTTTCAAGATATGCCTATCTCATCCCTATTTCTAGACAGTAAACATTTTAATACCCCCTCCCTTTTATTTTAGAATAGAAGAGAACAATCAATCAAATATGAAATTTTAGTTTATTTTGTTACATTTTATCTCTGTTTGGTAAACCTTAATTCATTTTCAATTTCCCTTTAGATTAATGCTGTGACTGGTTTAAGTTATTATTCAGAAAAAAGCCCGTGTTGAAATAATTGTACAAATTGTAATCCCAAGATAATATGGTCAACAACTAGTGATGGAGATGAGTTAAAATATCTTCTGCACGATTAAATAGAGGTTTCAATGGATTGAGCATAATTACTGCCTGTCATCTTCATATTTAATGATAGTAATGGTGTTTACCTGTTGGTCAGAAAGGTTTCCTTTAATAACACGCACTCTAAGATTCCCCACTGTAACGAACCTGTTACCGCCATCTGTAGCCATTATTTTATAGTTTCAGGAAATTTTTCTTTCACAGAGATACTGCAGTTAACTGATACTGGCCTGGAATTTTGAAAAAGGAAGGAAATTTCATGTATGTGAATCGTTGATATAGCGTTTAAATATTATTTTGATAAATATTAAATAAGAGGCCCATTGTTCTTAAGACACATTTGAGTATCACGCTTCAATTTTTTTTCCTCGAAGATATAAATCTTTAAATAAAACAACTTGTCATAAAGTTAACATATTTTAATATTGACTTTTAAAGCTTCCATAACTTGTCTTTTTCTGTTATAAACATATGACATTTTAAAACAAATCTTCCTAATCTCTCTCAGCTAAACCTTATCAAAAGATCCATGAATTATATGTAAGTCCCCAGATCGTTGTTGATGATATGATTTTGCGAATTAAAAACTTGAAATTTGTCCCTACAAAGATAAATTGCACGGTCCAGTTGATGTTCTATCTACCAAGGATCTGTCTTTACTCTTCACAAAAATATAAACTGCTATATGAAGGAGAGACTTCAGACATACCGTGCTATAACGTATTCTAGAAATCGTGTAATCAAATGTGGATTCTCAAAAAACTATAAAGAACTTTTGAAAACAAAAATATATTTTAAAAATCAATGATATCACAATGATGCCTTTCATTTTATATAACCATTTCTCATGATAAATTTAAGACCATTCCTTTTACATCAAAGATAATTGCTTCTTCAATAAAAATAGAATTCGGAAATTCCAAAACTCAGAATTATTCTGATACACACAAGTACTCTTAAGCTGAATTTAAAAAATAATATTCTGGAATTCCTCATTATCAATATCTACGTAGTCTTTTGAAACCAGGTCTTCCAACAATATGTTGCAATTCCGATGGGTACTAATTGAGTTCTTTCATTAGGTGACCTATTGATATTCTTTTGATGCAAAATTTATTTTAAAAACTTCTACATGAGAAGGAGATGACTCTTGTTGTGGCTTTCAATTCGACATTTAGATATATTGACGACGTTTCAAAAAAACGATACAACTGTATTTTCATTCATATGTAGACAAGACATAACCTAGTGAACTCAAGATAAATAAAAACACCACAGGGTCTGCCGCATTTGCTTCTTATTTGTATGTTTTACTACTTATAGACATTAGTGGCCAACTAACAACTAAGCTTTACAACAAACAGGATTGCATCATCTTTTTCATCGTAATTTTTCCCTGTGAACAGAGTATCATTCCACTATTACCTGCATATTATGTTTACGCCACCAAACTGATTCAGTACTTAACACCATATTTTGAGTATCAGGTTTTAGTACGGGCAAAATTACCACGCCAGCACCTGACATCATACATGCAAGATGCAACATACATGAATTCATGTTTACATGCTACTGATTCATGTCAACATACAACATTATTAAGTGTATGTTGTCTTTAGCTTGCGATTTATTTTTGTCGACTTGAAACATTTTAATGTCAACATTTAACATAATTATTTTGACATGTGAATTATCAATGTCAACATGCAAGAAAATTATGCTGACATGCGGCTTATTAGTGTCAATATGTAGATAATTAATTTAACTTGCACATACTTAATTATTCACACACTTATTTCAAAATGCAAATTAATTAGGTAGACTTATTAATGTCATCATGCAAGATAATTAAATTGATGTGCATCTTATCCATGTCAACATGCAAGTTTTTGCAAGTTGAGATAAATATGTCGCATGCCAATATGATTTCCTAGCATGCCGACGTTAAATAAGTTGTATTTAAAACTTTTATCCCTATTGCAGCATCCCAATCCCGGATTTAATTTAACTTTTTATCTACACAACCTGTTGAAACTTACATTTTAATATGATTAATCATGGCATTGTTGTTTTAGAGAAGATGTTTTTAAAGATTTTTCTTAAAATGTTACAATGAAATAGATGGAGATAACGGACAGTATTCAAGCTCAAAAGTCCATTCAAAAATACAAATCAGGAGCAGAGCAAACACGGACCTCTTAAACATTAGAGGTGGAATCAGGTGCCATGGAGGAGTGAGCATCCCCTGCCGACCGGTCACACCCGCCGTGTGCTCCTTATCATGATCGGAAAATAACGGAAAATCCGTTGACAATTCAGTGTGTAAATAATGGCTTTAACAATTAGTATGAAAAACGTCAGTCAGCATTGACTTAGTGATATATTGTAATGTAAAGCAATTAATTCAGATTGTGACCCCACTCTACATAACGGGGATTATTTAAATAAATCCGAGTTGGCCCTACCTGAAAATGCTTGCATATTGATATGATAATCATAGCTCTACTGCTCCTGAGAAGATTTTTTTAAATTCCCATATTAAAACTATCATACCCTATTTTGATCCTATGGTTTTAAATTGAAATATATTTTTAAGATTGAAATTTGAAATGAATCTTGTTAAGAATTAAAGGACCATGATTACTTAGTCATATAAATATGTATATAACATCAGTTATGTTCAAATCATGGTTCTTGGGGAACAATAGGGGATTGTGAAGTTCACATTCTTTGTCTTTCAAACAGTCCTCGGAAGTTAGGTCACAACAGATGATCGAATTTTTAACATGGGAATGTAAAGGAAAATTATTTCAAAATCTTTCCCTTAAAACAGCGGGTCTATGATAAGTCATATTAATATACAAGCATGCTCAGGTACTACAGATTTAATTTGTTCAAATCATGGCCCCGAAGTAGTCGTAGGTAAATAAGAAAATATAGGTACATGTAGGTAATATAAAATAAAATGTTTACAAGGGAATATATAAAGAAGAATCAAAATCAATCAGAATTCAAATCAAGGCCCCCGTTGATACGGGTAGGGTGAGGTCACAATAGAAGATCAAATTTTTACGAAATTTTTAAAATTTTATGATGGAAAAAATCATAAATTTTTTTCTCAAAACGGCGTGTCTATGATTTATTATAATGATATACAAGCATCCTCTGGTGGTGCAGAATCTAGTTTGTTCAAATCATGGCCCCAGAAGTAGTTAAATAAGGGATCAAACTTTTACAATATATAAAGAAGGATCATTAAAATCTTCTCATCAAGAACAGAGAGCCACGACCAATCATGTTAATATACAAGCATCCCCCAGGTAACACAGAATCCAGTTTGTTCCAACCATGTTCCCATGGGTCTTTCGGACCACAATAAGGAATCTGGGTTTTACAGGGGAATGTGTACGAAATAAAAAATCTTTTTCAGACATACCAACTTTACATTTGCAAACATTCGTGTACAAGTGATAATTTCTATTTCAAATTATGCAAGCCCGGTCGTAGGAAGTAATTTAGTGGGCACTACAAGCAAAAAAATCCTTGACAAACAAAAAAATGGGGGGGATCATCAGACGTAATTATTGATGAGGCACATTCATAAAGTACAATGTAGCTTTGTTTTCTATAGTATACCATATATCTGCAAAATTTAAGGGTAACCCACCCCCATGTCCCTTCCCCAGTTGCTTTGATCATGTTATGGACCCTCTTATATATATGGCAAGTCTTCTTTTCCAGAAAACACGATCATGTTCGTCATTCTCCTTGGTGCCACAAAATTTAGACAAATATTTTTTAAATAAAAACGGGGGAAATTTTAAAGAACAACAGGGTCTCAAAATATAGGATTATATATTGATTTTTTTTTTAAATTCTGGTTTCTGTTTAAACAGAGTCTCTGTATGCACGCCAACCATGTGTTTACAAGCAATGCAAATACCTTAAAGGGACTTTCGGTTTATAAACCCAAGAAAACGTTGGTAACAATTCCCCTTAATTTCTTTTTAACATTTGAATTCAGGGTTAAAGTCATATCATAGTAGCTTAAATTTTATTTTTAATTTTCAAAGCATATGAAATCTTACCCGTTTGTCATTTAAGTTCTGCTGTCAAACCGAACAAGCCAAACCGAAAGTAATATTCCTAAATCGGATATAATATCTAAATTTCCAGAATGAATTTTAGTGATAGGTGAAGGAAGTTTTTCTTTCCAAATCCAGATTAATCAAAGCAACACAAAAAATAATATAGAATATGATATTTAAAAATAACTTTTGTTTTACAAATTGGTCCGTAAATTACACGAGCTAAAAAAAAAGAAAAAGAGAATCGTGCTATTTTTTCCTTATATCGGAAGTTAATCAAAAGAGTTAGAAAAAAAACCCAGAACTTGTATTTGCTATCTTCAAATTCAACAAGTTATAATGCTATTAATATTTAATGAAAAAATAAAAATTATCATATTTTTAAGTTTGATATTGAGAGGCATAAAAGCATAATAAAAAAACAAATTTTAAACAAGATGCTTAAGGGCCTTAACGGTCACCTGAGTACGAGTATAATACAGCATTGTAAAGGATCGACAGAGGTATGAAATAAAACAAAAAATAAGCTGAGATATGATCAAAGCTATGTTGTCTAAAAGCAAGATAAATCAGATGATCAAGGGTCAACAAAATAGTTAGTCTATTACTCAGTAACAAATGATAAAGCAGATCTATTTACTTGTCTGTATCTGTCCCCATTTGTCCTTATTTTCTTAATATAGAGGGGAAGAGAAAACAATTGTAAAAGAATTTATGCATTTTCACTACATGATCATTAAAGCCCCGCCCTAACACCAGAAAACCCCTGACCATCGGGCCACAAATTTCAAAATTTGAAAGAGGCACCCTTGCTCATGATAAACATGCACCTAGTTAATTTTCTTAACATACAGGGGTAGAGAAGAAGATTTTTAAAGAATTTATGCATTTTCACTATATGATCATTAGAGCCCCGCCCTAACTCTAGAACCCTGGGGCCATGAATTTCACAATTTTGGTAAAGGGCTCAACGCTTATTACAATCATGCCAACAGTTTGATTGCTTGCTGTCCAGGAGTAAAAAAGATTTTTAAAGATAGCACCAATTTTGACGGTTTTAGCCCCACCCTTCAGGCCCCAAGGGAACGGAAAATTAACAATGAAATTACCAATTATAGTACCCCATCACCCATAGATACTATATGCCAAAATCGGTTGAAATTGGTTCAGCGGTTCAGGAGAAGAAACTGAAAATGTTTCAAAATTTATGACCGACGCACACGGACAAAATCAGATAGCAATAGGTCATCCGAGTGACTCGGGTGACCTAAAAATCCAAAACTTCAAATGCTATATTTTATTCAGCAGGATGCAAACATTAAACTCTCTTGAAATGTTGTACAGAAAATATTTAGATTTTTACGTTTGTTTTTTTTTTTTACCATTAGAAATAATCCGTATCATATGTATAAAAAGAAACACAAGTATAAAACATATTTCAATCCACAAAAAAGACAAAAATAATTTTAAAAAACTAAATTGAATTTCCGTGATGTGATCCGACTGTAAGGAAATTCCGCTCTCTATATCCATCACATGCAGAGCAGGAACATCCCCAAGTCCTACTTAAGGGATAATTTACAGAGGAAAATCAATTATGTAAACTTAGGAGTGTTTCTTTATTTGAAGTGTACTAAAGTTGATTTCGGCTAAATATACGAGGGCTTGTAATTGTGTAAAGTAAATTCAACATACGTAAAATGACTCACTTTTTATAATATACTTGTCAATATTTTCGTTAAAATAGAAATGGAAATCAAAAGTTTTCATTATTTTTAAATTGTTATTTTAATTTTAATCATAACACAAAGCTAATTATAGCTTACAAAAACATTGTTCACGCAGACACGTTCAGCCATTATCACAGACAAATATATCATGCTTAATATCAATACAATGATATTTATCCCAATTGTTTGCTGAATATCACAGTCAGAATATAGTTTATTTATACCATATGAGATATTCTGGGTATGATTGGCATCTGTCATATACAACAAACTCGCGATAAGAGAAGCTTGCCACCACACTGTCGTATATTTCCTGGTGACTGGTACATACCATACGACCGCATTTTTTACAAGGGGGTCTCTTGAAACCCCCCTTTTGAGTTGTCATGTAAATATCACCAAGACACATTCTCATCAGAAACATTGGACGACATCCATTTATATCAGCTCCTGAAAAAGATAATATTCATATTAAAGCTTTAGTTCTTGTACTTTCATTTCAAAATCTTCTTCAGAATAAGATTTAAATAGAACAAGAACATAACTTGGAACAATTTATAGCAATCAATTACGAACACAGTCTAATTTGAATCAGATAAAAATATGTTTTTCTTTTTTGAGAAAAAAAATAAATTTCTTAAGGGGCTTAGACACAGATTTGAAGTTAATATTTTCTAAACTTTCTGGTATATTATCATGACTTATATGTTCTTAGAGCATTTCACACCATAATATTAAAGTTTTTAGAAGCATCCTTTTTCTGAAAATAATTAAAACTACGATTTTGCGCGTTTGATTGACACATATCCTTGCACTTCACGAAGTAAACTTTATCCATAGTACTTAAGAAAAGTAGAAATTCTGTTATGTATTAATGAAAAATATTAAAACTATAATCCAGGAAATTCAGAGTGAAAATTGAGAAAGCAAAACCAATTCACCAGTATTGTCTGTCCGTGCTCAGTGATGTGTGCAAAGTGAACAAATTCAACACACCCAGTAAAACGTAAACATAAACAATAACAGAGCTCGTACATTGTTTGCAAACACAGATGTTTGACGTGATGTTATGAAAAATGTCGTTTTCATTGAATTCCTAAGAATATTCATGTAAGTTCAATTCATTAAACTGAAGTTATTTTTTCTAAAAATAGAAATTTAAAATTGTAAACAATGCAACCGTGTCCAGTCCTCTTTAAAATCTTTTAATTAATTACCTGTGTATCCGTCGGATTTTGCTGAATCTTCTGCACCATAAACACCCGTTCCAAGTAATCCTCCTGTATAAGCTAATCGGTTGTCCAGTCCTTGACCAGTGATTACTGCAACATAGTCCGGCTTTGTTCCATGAAAGAAGTAATACTCGTTGATTTCGTGATGTGTGTGTTTGGTCATTGCTGTGTCCAGATGACCCATTGTCTTAACCGGGCCCCTGGAACCACTGACCTTGTCCAATGGAACAAATTCTCCTTCAGCTATTGCTTTTCGAAATAGTCTTTGACATTCATCTGAGTATTTCAAGAAAAGTTCCACATTTTCGATTCGTTGAATACTGACTATTTGTGCATTACTTAATGTACTTTTGAAAGCTTTTTCTATGCTTTGAAACGTATTTTGATCTACATTTTCCAAATGTGATGCTCCAGACTTCACAGCTAAATTCCATTCTTTGAGTTTCTTCTTGTTTGTGAATTTTGTCCAGTACGATGGAGTGCATCCTTCCTCTTGGTATTTCCAGATCAGATAATTCTTTGTTCCACGTTGTGGAATCACTTTCGGGCCTCGTCTTTGGATGTGTCTGTGGTGAGTTTTGTGTGCTGAAAAATGAACGAACACGAAAGTATGTTAATCAAGGTCATTTAAAAAATGACCTGATTTTAGTCAAAAGACAATTAATGTAACGCCGTTTCTTATTTGAAATTTTTACTCTCGTCTTCTATATTATCTATATTTATCTAAGCATAAAATGAATGAAAGAATTTTGTTTGAATTTTTCAAATTATTTAAATGTCATATACGATTTATTTGTAAGCGAGTGCATAATTACCCTTTCCTCCATTTGCTCCAGAATCTTTAGACAATTCATTTGTCATATGACTCAATTCACTCTGGAAAGCCTGTAGTGTTTCATGAAAATCACATAAGCCATTAATTAAAATAATTTGCTTTGAACTTCGCTCTTTATTGTAATATTTACTAGGTATTTTATGATCTTTTAAATTGTAATGATCCATTGCTATTGCAATGTCCGTATGCGTAATTTATAAAGTATACCGCATGGATTTGACTCTTGATCAACAAGTATAAAGATTTTTAAAAAAAAAATGTAAAAAAGGACTAAACCTTTTCCAAATATTGAAGATCACTAGAACCTCCAAATAATACTACTTGAATTTCGGAAATAGTTTTATTCGGTGTTGTTTTACAAAATTTCTCAAACGCTAAAACCATACTGGAAGCTGCAATATCTGCTGGAAATTTATGATATCCGGTTCCGAGGGCAGGAAAAGATATCGATTTGTGGCCAGAAGAGTTTGCTTTCTTTAGACAATTCAAGACAAATTCCTCCAAAATCTAATAAAAAATACAATAAATGAGTATATTATTGAAATCAATGTGTCTGTCCTCAACCCAGTATAGGATAAAATTAGACAAATTACATGAATTTACACCTGATACATGTACAGTTAAAATATTTTTAAAAATCACAGAAAATGTGTAGATAATAACGAATAAAAATCTTGTCAGTATTAGAAAATCGCACATAAATTTTTTTTAATTCATAAAATAATTTTGATTAAATATAGGAAATTCTCTGTTGCTAAGATAAAAATACGACAGCTACGGAAGCCCATTTTGGACCCATCAAAAATATTTTTGAATTTGATATAACAAATTCTCGAATTTGTTAAACGAATTTCATTCGTTATAACATTTTTTTTTGAATTCTTATAATGAATTTTATTTGTTATAACAGATTTGATGAATTTAATTTGTTATAACAAGTTTCAGAATTTGTTATTACGAATTTAATTCGTTATAACAAATTTTTAAATTCGTTATAACAAATTCTACAATTCGTTATATCGAATTCGAAAATATTTTTTGATAGGTCCTAAATGGGCTTCCGTAAACTTCCATTGAGAATAATATCCAATGAAACCTATTTAATAACATAATGTACCCAAAGCATTTTTTAAAATGATGTTTCAAAACAGTTCACGGGATCACCGAATGTCTTTTCACGGGAAGGCACTAAAGACAAATCTCCAGGAAAACAGTAATAATTTACACAACTTGACATAATTTAGTTTCTTTGTTCTTATTTTAACATTTTTAAATATTTCTTCACATATTTAAAAGCAATATTTGAACACAACGAAGTCCAATGTATTTGTTATTTATCATTTTTTCGTAAACGATTGTAACTATGCAGGAAAAATAAGCATTTTTGTGCTATAGTTGTAAATGTTAATACCCGTATTAACAAATAAAGAAAAATATATTGTTAAATATTAATTATTTTTATTAAGTGGGTGAATTTATAAAACCGGTTCAAATTAGTTTAAGGTTAATCAAGTGATTAATTAGCGGAATCGGTTTTTTATAGGAATAAAAGGAGAAAATTATCAGTGTATGTAAATATATGAGAATGGATAGACATTAAAAAGAAAGAATGAACAGATAATTTTTTTTTCCAATTGTAGCTTCGGTACCTCAGCAGGGGGTTTTGTCGATCCTGACCGTTTTGAATACCACGGCAGAAGAGCACCATGATATATTTCTTTGACGGACGTCATCTCATGGCCGGTAGTAACAGCAATGTCGCCATGCTGAATTCCCTTTGGGTAATTCTGGGTAAGTTCGTTAGTCATTCCGACACCGGCTGCTGTGGCTAGGGCCGCAGCAGTTCCCGCTGTCATTCCTAAATCTGGAGTGACACTATTTACAAGAACGTCCACCTAAAACATCAAAAACCATAATAAATCACATATCGTGTTTATGTCAAAGATATGAGGTGGTCGCAAAAAGATGTGGCCTTTTTCATATTAATTAACTTAAAGCGCCACAAAAGTAGTAAATTACTTGAACCGCAATTCAAATGCTTCATAATCTTCAACTTTTTTTGATAATGAAAACTTGCCTTTTCTTCCGTAAGATTTCCAACTTTGACATTCACTGAAATTCTGTCAATTTTACCAGTGTATACCGTCTTCGAAACAGTTGCAGCTAGTGAAGAAATTCATTAAAACACAAAAAAAAATCAATAAAAGTTCAAATTACATTTACATTTACACTGCAATGAGGGAAATGAAAGGATTATTTACCAAACATCTGGCCTTTCAGTTCCTTTAGCATTTTCTGCAAAAGACATGCAATAACTTATGTGCTTTTAAATAAAGCATCGTGTACAAGTGTTACATGAATATTTTGTTCACCGATCACCCGCCGGTTAAAATTAAAACGAGTTATTAGTAACACAGGCACGCGGACTAATTTTCCAATATGGACAAAATAACTTACAGATTGTAGTAGTGACCAGTCTTTGTCTTTATTATACACAACAATAATGACTTTGTCAATAGTTATGCTTATTTGACGATGCTTCATATTAAAGTCACGGAGACACTGCACCATGAGCTTAGCTGTCTGGTCCACAGGAAAATGTAGTGCTCCAAGACCAAGGGTCGGAAACGCTATTGACTTCGTTGAATGTTTGTTTGCTTCCTCTAAACACTCAGACATGAATTTCTTTAGAATCTAAGTGAAAACAAATAAAAACAAGAATACAAATACTAGTAAATGATAAAAATAAATACAACACAGAAAAAAAAATTCTTACATAAGAAGGATCTGGTGTGTTGGTTCCCCATTTTGGTAAGGCACCATGATAAACATACTTGCAATTCAGATTATAACCTTCGCTCACAGCACATTCGCCAAAGTCGATGCCATTTGGAAAACTGCTGTCGAGTTCTTCTTGCATTTCTTCTCCAGCCACTTCTAGAAGCGATTGTGATAAGCCACCATTACTTAGCTGTAAGTCTTTTGGTCCACTGCATACTAAAACATCTGCCTATGATTGAAAAGTCTACTAGGGTTGAGCATTCCCGAGAGTTTTAAAACACTAGCTTTTGGCTTTAGTTAGTTATCTATAAGGGAGTTTCGGCGTATTAAAACAGATGTTATAAAACATAGTATCTTTAATTTCGACAATATGGTTTGGATAAAAAACAACAACAACGAAACATTTCAAAATATTCATTCGCTGAAGCTACAAAAATCGTGTTGTGGAGAATTCTGCAGCACGGTAGGCAATTGTAAAAGTAAAACAAATCAATGTTTCACCATTTCAGACATTACCAAAACATTGCTAATATTTATTGCATTTATCACCATATTGTGATAAATGCTTTTAATACCAGTGCAAGAGCGATAACTCGTGCGTTCTTGGTAGTGGTTAAACATTATTGAGACCATGAGTTTTAAATAGAGGACGCAATATAATCAAGCACCTTATGACCCCGATTTTCATAGTCTACCGAAAAAGCTAGAAGGGCAGACATGTTGCAAAATTTCACCCACCCACCCTTCCCTAAAATATGTGTACAGATTTTTGCTGCTTTCTCTTCTGTAATTTCAGTGACAGAAGCCTATTCTTACATGGAAAGAGATGTGTATGTGGAACACCCTAGCGGTTGGAATCATTAGCAAAGAAAGGATGTGGTCATTATGTATATGGTTGGACCATTTGGTGTCAATTGGGCATTTTCTGTTGAAATCAATATAAATGATTCAATCCTGAGTTTTATTTGGACATTTCTATGGTGTGATACATAATCAGTATTTCAGTGAAATTGGTGATCATTGATGATTCTGTGTTTACGTACAGTATTACTGTACAGTGTTACTTTTAATAAGTATTGCAAGCAAGTATAGCTTGTAAATATATATATTGAGAATTTTCTAGCTTTGGGATTATGGTAAAGTTTCTTAAGTCACAATCTGGGATGGGGGCGGCGGAATTCGGGGATTACCACGAATGAGGAATTCTCTCATGTCTGGCTCAAAACTCTGGGTAATCTATCCTCAGTACTGGGGAGGATTAATTTGGGGTTACCTCAGCGGTACCTGAGGGACCAGCTTGATCTTTGTGGGTACCAAAGGCAAGTTTTGGGGCCTACCCCTGGGGGTATTATCCCCATGTTGTTGTTGTATTCCAGGGAAGGCAGGTATAGAGTTAGGGCCCGAGTCAGAACTTGAATTCATTCATTTGATGTGGCACTCACTCTTGTTGGTACCAAGAGGTCTGTTCCCACCACAGTCACCTGTGGGGGCGCTATCGCGCCAAGGATCTAGGGAGGTCATCCCGGTAGGCAGGTAGTGATTCCCTGGGTTCCGCCGGGGTATTTAAATCTATGTATAAATAGATTGTGACAAATAGTCGCCACAAAATGTAATCATTGTTTCACAATAAATGTGTAAAATTAATATTTGTTACTATTCATTGCATCTGGGATTAAAAGAAAGTTTATTGATGTCAACGCCCCAGTACTTTGGCTCAGCACAGCCAATAAAACCCAGTGCTTACATGAATAGAACTTAGTGTGTCCACCACTACTTCAACAGTCATTTTCCCTATTTTATGACTGTGGGACTTTGCCTTTGTTTGATTTCCTTGACCTTAATAAGTAAAATACAAATCATTTATTATTGATATCTAAGAACAAGATCAAAAACATACGGAGGTGCTCTTTAATTTGAGTTTGGAACCTAATTGTTTAATCGTTCAAAAAAATTCTACTTTACAATTTTTGTGTTCACAGTACAAAATCAAAGGAATAAAAAGCACAGAAATAAAAAAAAATGTTTATAATTTTAGAACATATCAGATTGTAAACTGATATTCTTAATAATATGTATCTGGAATATTCAATGTATTTACCTTTGTGAAGAAACTTCTTCGCTTCCGTCAAAAATACCTATTTGCATTAAAAACATGTGACGTTAACATTAGTATGATATATAAGATGTACAGTTGCTAATAGTTTAATATATACTTGCGTGCATTTTGTTTCCAGGCATTTTTTTTAAAATTCTAACATGCAGTAACAAGAACTTAAAGAAATAATTTTTTAATTTATGCAATAAAGTCTTTCTTCAAGTAACATATAGAGTTACAAATACTTTAACATAAAGCAGTCATCTAAAAAAGAATACAATGGAAAATTGGTTACCTTGAAAATGTCTTTTTCTGTTGGAAATATAACGATCCGAACCTCACTTAAGGACTGGGGTGTAAAGTTTTGTATGCAGTCGAACATGATCCGAGCCACAGCGGGCACTGGAAAAGAAAGAAAACCAGTCCCAAGGGCAGGAATCGCCATCGTCTCGTATCCATCTGTATTCGCCTGATCCAAACAGGTTTGGATAAGTTTTTCAAGAATCTGAAATTGGTACAAATAATACAGCTGAAAATGTCTGGTTTCATTTTTAAAAAATTGGTTGCTTTTCTTCTGTTTTCCGCTTACAAAAATTTGGTTTTAAATACTATATATATTTCATCCATTCATCATACCTTTTCATCTTGTGTTGAGGAATATTTTGACAGGGCCCCATGGTAAATGGCCTCACATGACAACTGTCCCCCGGATGTGATTGCTATTTCCCCGTCTTGTATGCCGTGGGTGTAATTTTGCTGAATCTCCGTCTGAATTTCTTCACCAGCAGCCGATAACAAAGCATTAGATGCTCGGCCTTTACTCAGGTCAAGGTCAGGTCTACTGCTGTTTACAATGACGTCAACCTTAAAACACAATATCTCCAGTTTATGGTAAAAATGTTAAAATTAGATTCATATAATAATAATATCGGTCATTTGTTGTTATTGTTCTTGATGATGAAGATGATGATTAGATTTTGCTGATAAGGATGAGGAAAAAGTAGATGTACCTTTTGGTCTTTTATGTCCCCCTTGATGACTCGGACTTTCAAATTCCCAACGGTAACAAATTTGCTATCAGTAGACATGTCAGTATAGACATATCCTGATTTTAATTCTTTGTTACTCATCTAAGAAATAATACAGAAAAGGTATCAATATGGGGTGATTTCTTTAAAAGGTAAATAGTTTGTAACCAACCAATTATGTCTGAGAGATCAATCAATCAATGCTCATAAAGTTTGTAATCAACCAATTATGTCTGAGAGATCAATCAATCAATGCTCAATTGGCTAATGGTGAAAACAAAAGAGAGAGAGAAATGTAATACATGTAGCAATTATATAATTCATATTTAGAAAATTAAAATACAAATGAATACAAACATGAATACAAACACACACTATATAAAGATAAATTCAAGAAAAGAGAGAGAAGCGAATTAGATTTATGTTAAGTATTACGTGAATGTCATATTGCCCAATGGTTTCCTAAAAGGAAATAATACTATAAATTTTCTTGTTGTTGTTATGGGTATACATGCACAATGTATATTATTACAAATTCTGTTTAGGCGCAACATACCAGTATGGCATTTCCAATTTTCTGTAATATTAAACTCCCTTGAGTAATGTTGTTTATTTTTCGATTCTTAATCGTAAAACGTGAAACTAATGTTAAATGTTAAAACAAATTATAGCGTTGCATTTTCAATAGTTAGTTTTAGGTATGTTTTTCTTGTCATTTGTACTTTCTTTTTGAGTCGTTAAAGTTAACATTTAAATATAATCGTGTGGAATTGAATTTTTTAGTTTAAGATTTATTTATCTAAATAGCTTTTGATTTGATATATATACTTTTTTATCATAAATTATAAATAAATTACCAGTTTCTTTGTAAACAGTAGAAAGAACCTCAAACACCAAACTGAAAGTTGTACCGCAATTCTGGCTTTCCTTTCTCAGAACTGCGCATGTTCTCTTCCTTGTCCGTGTTTAAAGGCCAGGCCTATACGTAGGTATAAAAATGCAAAATGGATAGATCGATACCCAGTGTTGAGTTTTAAATTGTACCCGTTCAGCCATACCCGTGTAGACAGTTCAATTTTTATAACGATTTCATTCATCTGGAAATTCCAGTGGCAACTTTTTATTCTAGGGCAGCTATGAAAAAGAGTATTTTGTCTTTAATCATTAAAATATACATATATTATATTAATTATTAGTTTTATTTTAGACTGTTGACAGATACATTGCCGGGTCCAGCAAATGCTCTATCAAGCCCCTATCTTTACTTTTCAATAAAAATATTAACTGATGTAAAGGAGAAATTTCAGACGCAGTTTTAGTTTGTTTGTTGTTTTACGCCCTTCTCGAGAATTTTTCACTCATGGAGACGCCACTGCACTTGCCGGTGGAGGACTGCAAATTTAGACAGGACTATTGAGCAGTAAGGGATAATTTTCGTGCCAGCACCTACTGCGACACGGGACCTCGGTTTATATGGTCTTATCCAAAGGACCATGCAGTCTCCATGTCCCGCAGTGGGATTCGAACCCGCGACGTAAGGATCATCTCCTTTCTCCGCGACTCTAGAGCAGACACTCTAACCGCTGCGCAACGAGGGCTCAGACGTTATGTGCTTCAGCATATTCTAGAAGCTGTGTAAATCAGATGTGGATTCTCAAAAACTCAAAAGAACATTTGGAAAATTTAAAATCACCAAATTCTTTAAAGTCAGTAACATCAAAACGTACGACCTTTTCTATACTTTATACAACCATTCCTCACGATAAATTAAAATTAGGTTTTTTTTATATCATAGGCAACTTTTTTTTTAATAAAAAAAAAATAATATCCTGTGATTGGTCATCAACAAAATTACTTTGTTAAAAATCACTTTGTAAAAATCACAATTTCCATGGGTACCAATTGCGCCCGTTATTAGCAGACCTATTTTTGTATTCATATGAAGCAGAATTTGTTCAAAACCTTATACGTGAAAAGAAGAAAACACTTGCTGTGGCCTTCAACTTGACATTTAGATATATCGACGACGTATTGTTAATTAACAATGGTTATTTCCATTCTTATGTCGATACGATATATCCCAGTGAACTTGAAATAAAAGATACTACAGAGTCTGACAAACTTTTTCATATTTGGATATTTTACTAGAAAAAGACGTTAATGGTAATCTAACAACCAAGCTTTATGATAATCGTGATGACTTTGACTTTTCAATCCTCAACTTCTCTTACTTATGCAGCAATAAACCTTCATCACCTGCATACGGGGTTTATATCTCTCAGTTGATTCGATATGCAAGAGCATGCTCTATGTATGAACAATTTCTAAAACGAGGTAAGTTATTGACAAACAAGTTGATGAAACAAGAATATCACCAGTCTCGTTTAAAGTCGTCATTTCGTAAGTTCTATGGTCGATACAATGACCTTGTCAGCAAATACAATTTATCATTAAGTCAAATGCTCACTGACGTTTTTCATACTAATTGTTAGGCCATTATTTGCACATTGAATTGTGGATGGATTTTTCCGTTATTTTCCGATCATGACAATTAAGGAGCACACGGCGGGTGTGACCGGTCTGTAGGGGGATGCTCACTCCTCCATGGCTGACCTATTTTCATATTCCTATGAAGACTTATTTATTCAAAAACTTTTTATGAGAAGAAGAAAACACTTGTTGTGCCCTTCAACTCGACATTCAGATGTATTGACGACGTCTTATCATTTTTCAATGGTTACTCATATGTCGACTCGGTATATCCCAGTGAACTCGAAATAAAAAATACCAAGATAGCACAGTCTGTCTCATCTGTTTCATATTTGGATGTTTAACTGACTAAAAACGATAAGGGCCAACTAACACCTAAATTGTATGACAAACGAGATGACTTCAGCTTTTCCATCATCAATTTTCCTAACATATGTAGTAATATTCAGCTATCACCTGCATACGGCATTAACGTTTTACAACATATTAGATCCCCAAGAGCTTGATCTGAGTACGATCTAATTTTAAACCGAGGCAGACTAATGACAGATAAGTCGATGTTTTAGGGATTTCAATAACCTCGTATAAAGTCGGCATTTCGTAAATTCTATGACCATGTCCTCGTTAGCAAGTATCACCTTTCAGTAGTCGTATTTTGACTGACGAGTTTCATACCAATTGCTTTTTCCCTAAATTTGACTACGGAATATTCCGTCTACTTGATAAATACATAGAGCTTACGGCAATCGTGACCAGTCGACAAGGTACGCTTACTCCTATAATTTCCGGGGGTCCGTGTTTTATGCCTTGTTCATAGATTTGTACTGTTTATAGATTTTTTTTAGATTGAACACTGTTTGAAATCTTCACCTTTTTCATCGTTTATTAATATGACTATTTACGGCCCTGCTATTCTTGATAAGAAGATTTTAAAGGATTTTTTCCCTATACTTTAACATGTCCCACCAGGTCCCCGGGGGCCTTTATTTGAATTAACTTTAAACTACACTAAATCAGAAAGCTTTCGCATCAGTTTCGTTATTTCTGGCTAAGACCTTTGAATACCCCGCCAATTTTAACTATCTCTAAATTATCTCTCCATTAAAAAGCGTGGCCCTTTTTTGAACAAATTGAATCCCCTTAACACAAGGATGCTTTGTGACAAGAGAATTGTTGAATTTAGCCCAGTGGTTCTGGAAGAGAAGTCGAAAATGTGAAAATTTTACAAATGTTAGAAGCAAGACAGGCGCCGGACATTGTTTGAATAGAAAAGCTTTGTTGAATCTTCAGCTCAGGTGAAATAAAAAAAAAAAAGAAATTCGTATGGTTCATGTTTCATTGAAACTACTTCATATACTCAATTTTCTTAATTTTCCCACTTGTAAATTGAGCTACATATAGACTGTCATCTTTGTCAACACATATACCATATGGATGACATAAATCACAGTTATCTATAGAACGAAGGAACTGGCCATACTGGTCTAATATATGGATACAATGGTTATCACTGTCTGCTGTCAGGATCTGACCCTGGCTGTCTGTGGTGATCCCATGAGGTTTGAAAGGATTCTTTTTGGCAACAGATGTCTGACTTGTGTATCTGTATCTCAATTTCCCTGACTGACTGACCACCACTACTGCCCCAGCACCGCAATCAGCGACGCAGATATCCAGATTTCTGTTCTCACTAACGTGTTTAACTATATTGTTCACGGAATAGAGAGGTTTCCCCTCGTCATCAAATTGAATCGTTTGTTTCATTGTGGAACCAGAGTAACGGACAAGTTTGCATTGTGTTATATCAACATTGTACATGGTAACCAAGATGTCGCCATGGAAAGTAACACAGAGATTTTGAGGAACCCAATCCTGCAATTGGATTAACTCCTCTGTTTGGCCATTCCTCACAATATTAACAGTTCCTGTATTTGTGTCAGTATAGAGAAGATCATTTGTATTCGTTAATGCAAGATCCATGGCACTTTTTCCTGATTTTGTGGAAATGCTGTTCAGCAATGAGCCACTAACATTAAAGCATTTTATTTCACTGGTCAAGTTACCTATCCAGATTTCTTCATCATTCAAACAGGTAACATTATTCAGCGATATGTATCCAGTATAAATGCTGGTTATAAGAGCTGGTTCATCAAGCAGCTGTTTCAGTGGCGAAGAGGGTGCAGAATCCGGTATCATCTTACTGTAACCTTGTGTTGTTATGGAGATTGGTGTTAGAGAACCAAACAATTTGGAGAGCTGTCTTGGAGAACTGTGTGGAACAAACGCCGGTAGCTTAACATCAGCCCAGGGTGGATCTTTTTGGAAGTCCTCAGTGCATATTTCAAAAGACAAACATTTCAATACATCGTTTGATTTCAGAATTTCCTTGATTTGAGATAGAGTAATTTCAATGCCTGATGTCAATTTTTTGATAAAGTTTAAATTCCTTAGCATAATATCTGAGTGTCTTTGTTTCACCTGATTAATTTCATCTTTCAATGCTTTAACGACCACATCAATTTCTCTGTGCCATTCTTCTCCTTGTTTGTTTACAGCGCATGTAAGTTTTCCATATTCCTCATTTAGGCCATTTAAATGGGTTTTTATATCAACTGAAGCATCTGCATACTTTGGATAAATACTATTCCTAATTCTGCTCTCTTCTTTTTCCAGAAATTCTTTCTTTGAGTTGAGCATATCTTGTATACATCTGAAACAATGTCTCTCGTGTGTAATTGATGTGACACAGTGTGGACAAACAGGAGTGTTGCAGTCTACACAGTACATCTCACACTGCTCCTTCCGGTGAATGTCACACCGCGGGAAATTGAATTTTGATTTTCTCAAATAAAAGTCCACTATATCATGTTTTTGTAAGTTGTTAGATAAATGTTCCCCGACACACTTTTTACAGAGGTTTGTGAGACATGGAGAACAGTACATCTGTACTGTGTGTTCCCTACAGAGATCACATCTTATAGCATCCTGGGGGTGTATTCCAGGTTCCATATTATTCTTGGCTATGTATAATTGTAAAAGATAAAGTTATTTTGAAATGCAGTTACTGTTCTTGGTAACTCTCCATTGATTTTTGCAATCGCTAATAAAGTATCAAGATTATACTGATGTTTCGATCATGCACGTTCAAAGACGCGTTATCATTATGCATTATACCAGCGGTGGGGTGTTATAACTGTTTCTCTTTCCTGAGTGACCTTTCTTTTGTAGAAATCCTACAACGCAGTTCTTGTTTGTGACACAGCACGTGCATAATATTAGGAATCTGGTCAAAAAAGAACAAATGACTTAATCTGATTTTATATTATGTTTGCTGTCCAGCTAACAGAATATGTACATGAAGATTACGAAAAGTTCTCCGTTTATCTTTAAAAAGTTATATTCATCTGATATTGTTTACTGAATTCTGCATTACCTTGTATCATGGCGTCTATCTACTCACAAACTTCCTGCTCTAACTGGGTTTACTAATACTAATGTATTTTAACTAGTATTTAAAGTATTTATAGTTAGGAACAGTTCGCATGGGTCTCTTTTGTCTATAGTTTGTTATGGCTTCAATAAATTTAACAATTTCTAGCTTTAAGGCAAAGTCTTTTTTTACAATGCACATTTGCAAATAAATAGGTAAGAAGAAAGGGGGAGTTTCGATAAGGCCGCTTATCGGCCCACTTATTTTCATAAAAATAAAATTCGTTTATTTTTTCAAAATTGGTTTAGAATTCAAGATATATATGTTAATTTTTGTTATTTATATTTCAAAAGTTTATATGAGATAAATTCACGCCATAGTTGGCACATTCTTAGATGTACCCTCAAATGCTTTAACATTAGGCTAATGGGAAAATATAAGAGGGTGGTATTTATAAATCGATGGTTAGAATATGAAGTGCATGAGGGACACTCACCTAGTTTTGTTCAGTAATTAGATATACTCTGCACACTAATATCTTAAAATATGATAAGTGTCGCGTGTGCACTTCATATCCAAAAATTGAAAATTGTCTAAAATTTGCATATCTAAAATTAAAAGCTCCTGGTTACTTGATCTGACGCCGTGTAAAAATACAAAGCCAAAAGTAGCATATTTTTTCTAAACCAAAGAGAACTCTCGAAAATATTGACATAAGAAAACAAAATCGTATCCTATCGTTATTTCCATACTTATTTCGTCGCCCGCGTATAACGTTAACGTCATATATTTAGCTCACCTACACGAAGTTGGGGGAGCTTCTGTAATACTATCGTTATAGGCGTATAGGCTATTAAAAGTTTTTAATCAATTTTTTCATATCATCAGAGTCGCCTGATCTAGTGTGTTTTCATGCCATCTGTCGGGTTTCAGATGCTGCATTTTCAGTTATAGAATGTCCAGGTTAATGTTTTTAAAGCAGGTTAATGTTTATGGAGCAGTGCAGCTATAAGCACTTGTTGAGAGGACGTGCTTCATGATGCATCTTCGGATGCACACTGTCACACTTGCTTCAGATGCTAGATCTGACTTACATTTTCTTGATGAATGCTCAGGGTATATATTTTGGAGCATGTCTCATTTTCATGTAACTATAATCCCTATCTTGAAGAAATATACACCGATGATGCATTTAGGGTTACACATTACCAGAACTGTAACAGATGCCGGATCTTACATTTTTCAATGACTGACTGAACTAAAGAGAAGTTTAAGAATCAGTCCATTCATTAACGTTCTTTATCATGGATATGGTTATAGCCATTCCTTTGAATAGAATCGCTTCAATCTGTTAGAGAAGGTTCACATATAATTCCGTGTGGTCTACATGTAGGGAACGTAGATTACTTCTAAGACTGGATGTTGATTTGTACGTTTCTGCAGGATATGTTTGAACACATACATTTAGTATGTACAAATGTATTTTAAATTGCGGCTATAGTCTAGCAAATCAAATAGTGACTAGAGTTGGTGAAACAACATAAGGAAGTTGGGAAGCGCGAGGAATTACATGTAGGTCCTCGCTTGCCTGGATTGTCTCATTTTTGCTGAAAACATAATGCACCTCTTTATATGCGTATGAATAGTTTAAGTTCAAGAATGAATAGAAGACATGCACTCAATGTATTTTAGTTTGTTTTTTTTTATCATTTGGCTATCTATTCACGCATTCTGTAAGCACTGCATTAACAATAATAGTCCACTATCGGCACTGAAATGGTTATTTGATGTCTTTATTCCATTTGTAATATTTCATTTATGATTTTGACGTTAAATAAACTCCATTACTCCCTTTAAATATGATCCCTCCAAAAATATAGGGAAGAGGGTATACGTAAATTTTTAATTATCACGTGACCAGATAATGTGCAGTATATTTTTTTTTATATTTTTAGGAAAATAACACTTTAATCTACAACATATCACAATTTCTTTATATTTCTTGAGGGGCCGAAAAACAGCCTTATCGAAACTCCCCCTTTGATGCTCTTGCTTACCAACAAGGCTACAATTATAACTTTCTGTTCCTTGTGATTATTTATAGGTACTCTTCGGATTTGTAAAGCACTAATATAAGTAAACAGATAGGTACAATGAGGAACATACGTAGTACATATAAGACAAGATAGAATAATTGAATGTTCTCAACTTTGTGGTTGAAAGAACACCGTCAAAAGTAGAGATCTGCTTTCAGCAGTAACTTTTCCTACTAAGATCTACAATGCAAACTACAATATAGATGTTGTCCACAGAAAGGGGGTAATATTAGATTAAAGAGATATTTCTATTGTCATTAGATATCTGTTTATTTCACTCATCTCTATGAAGTCGAAGAAATAACTCTAAGTCGTCATCATGAGTTGTCTCTATGCTACTACAATATAAATTTCTTTTGTGAAATAGATATATCTCCATGATAATCAATTTCTATGTTTAACAGATAAATTATCTCTCTAAAAAAGTTATATCGAATGCTCTATAACTTAAGATAGCCTTTTTTCTCTGAGAAATATACCTTCCACAATAGAGATATCTATTGTGCAAGAGAGGACATTTCAACAAAGGACTTTGAACATCTGACTTTTTTTATACCAACTTGGTGTCTATTTCATTCTTCAAGTATTTATTCATTTTTAACACAATGTACAGTTTTGTCAAGTATTCTCCTTAACACTTCTTCATTCGTATTCACAACCCTCGTTATGTAAGTTTACAAGAGTTTTTTTTTTTAATGAGTTTCTAAATTAGCTGATCTACTGCGAATTTTGGGAAAATAACTTCATTTTTTTCTAGTATATTCCAAAAAATGAGTTGGCTACTGCGTAAAATGTAGGAATTATGAAGACTTCTGAGAAGACTCTTTCGACCCCCTAGGTAATCTAATTAAAATTTGATCTTCTCGGTGGCGGATTAGGAACATCTAATTTTAATAAGATTGGCCTTTGGGGTTGAAATGAAAATTCTGAAACCTACAAGACACCGCCAATCATATTCCAAAAGGTGATTAGGCTACGGCTTAAAATATAAGAAGAGTTTAAGAAAGAGGATAGTGTGACAGACGGATGAACAAAAAGGGCCTCAAAAGAAAACATAATATTAGGTATATTTCTTTAGAAAGTGGGAGTATAATAGTTATTTAACTTGCCGTAAAAACTAGTTTGATAAATATATCATTCAAATAAAAAATACAAGAATAAATTTAGACATGCATGGCTGTGATCATGCCTGTCCGTCTGTCACACAATATGTTCTTTCTCATACCCCTGTTATATTTTAAGTACTAGTATCAGCTGATCATCTTTTGGATAATGATTGATGGTGTCTTATAGATGTACAATAAGATTTTATTTTCACCCTTGGGGCCAACTGGGGGTCTAAAAACGCTTTTCGACAACATCGTCTTTCTAAAACTCCTCTTACATTATGGACACATGATACAAACTTTTTTTCTTTCAAAAAACCATCAAAATAACAACTTTAGTCATGTTTACATAGGTAAAATGAGTAAGTTTAACCGCACATATTTTAATTCTTCATCCAAAATTTCACAATATTATCCTCTAAAGTGTTTAAAAAAAATTGCATAGATTTAAAAAGGTAGAATTTTGAACTTCATAGTTTCAATATCTTATTATATTAAAAATCTAATATTTGCACCATTTACAACCAGAATAGGTCCAAAAATGTATACCAATCCAGGCATCCTTTTTTGTATCATGTGTCCTTAAGATTCGAAATTTTCATTTCACTGAGTGCCAAATGGGGGAGGAGGGTGCAAAACGACGCTTTCCTAGAAAAAACTAGGTTCCCAGAAGTCTTCTTACATTTAACACAGAAGTCAAATCATCTTTTTGGAATAGATAGGTCCTGTATATCATGATCTTGGATTACAATATATCAAATAATATTATGTTTAAAAAGCCAAGTGTCTTTAAATTAATACAATTGTTAAGTATTCAAAATGTCAAAGAAATATCTACATTGGGAAGATTTTTGTTTAGCGCTTCACAACGAAGATTAGAACTACTAAATTGTTTGTAGCATATACTGTGGAATCATTTTTATTCGTGGGGGTCAATGTTCGTGGGTAGCCAAAAATTTCCTGGTTCGTTGGGACGTAATTTCGTTGATCAATAACAAGTTCTATTTCGTTTTTTTTTAAAGTTAAACAAAGAAGGATAACTCCGTCAATGTTGTTCATTTAAAATGATAAGGAGTTATCTCTCTTGTGAACCCAAAACGTATCATTATATGATTCTCCAAGCAATAGTGATTACTTCTCAGCGGTATGTATATATTCTGTTGAATTTTACCTCACTCATCTCATTTCAATGTATCGGAGGCTTACACCGACAAATTACAGTCGTTAGATGTCGCGGTAAATTACTATTATAAAGAACAACTTAAATCGACATCCAACTGCTTACTGCCAACTGCTCACTGCTTACTGCCAACTGCTCACTGCCAACTGCCACTGCTCATAGATGATATTGCCTGTTTTATTATCTTTAATATCTTTAATACGCATGCTTACTTGAATAAACCCTATGATAGATTACAATAATAACAAAAATTGGCGGATTCAGGAATTTTTAAACAGTGAAGGCAAGGAAGGAATAAATATAGGAGGAAAGAGTATTCTCTCTTAAATACAATACATCTAATTCCCACATTTCCTTGCAATTCAATAGATTTTTTTTTTTTTTTTTGAAAAGGGGGGGGGAGGCTTTTGG